CGTCCTGTCCTCCCATTGGCTCGACAGGGGTCCAAGACCACTCAAGGGTGCTGGGTGCTTCCTCTGGGCAAGGAGCTGAACTTGTACAAGGGTCAATCATGAAGACCTCATCTCGTGGGGGAGGCACGAAAATAAGCCTGAAGTGCTTTGTGATTCAAAGGAAGGAGGCCCGACTTCAGCTGGGAAGGTCAAGGAAGCGTCTGGAGCGTGTCACCTCGAAGGCCATCAATAGCAGACAAGCATGAGGGAAGCACATTTCCGGCCTCCGGGGAGGAGCACTTGAAGAAAAGCCACATTCATTATTGTGCCCTGCTCTGTCTCCTGGTGCTCATGGATGCTCCTCAGCATGTGACACAGGAACCACGAGGCCCTCGTGAACAGCAGGGACAAAGGAACCTCTATATCCCTCAGAGACTGGGTGGCCCTGTCTCTTGTTAAGGGAATTTCCAAGTCTAGGAACCCACTGGCTTCTGGTAATACTTCCTTTATTCCTCAGCTGGAAGTGGCCGCAGGGAGTAAGGTTGGAGGATCTGGGAGCTCCGCCCTCCGTCAGGCGGCTGGGCCAGAGTGGGCTTCCTGGCTTATGGCTGCCCCAGTGGACCGCCGTCCTCCTCCTCCCAGTGGCCACTGCCTGGGCCCTGGCCCTGGCCCTGGAGAGCTGCAGCAGCCCTCTGCGGCTGGAGCCGGCTCTTGGAGCTGAGCTACCCTGTCCTTCCCCCATGCAGCCCTAGACAGCTCTGCGTCCACCGCACCGCCGCAGAGTTCTGATCTAGGTGCGAGAAGGACCCTGGTGCGGGGAGCCGCTTGTCGTCCGGCTGGAGGCCGAGCACTGGGGTAGGGCAGGAGAAGTACTTCCGCCAGCAGCCGGGCGAGCCTTCCTTCCCTCTGCTCACCCCACCCTGCTTCTTCCTGGGAAAGGCCTGGAGGGGACGGTCTCGTGCCATCAGCCTTTCACGTGCTCCAGGTGGGGGAACATTTGCGCTGTGTGTCAACATGGTCCTGTGGCCCACATCCTGCTGTCTTTTGGGCCACTGGGTGGAGCTGCTATCCTGTGACCTCCTGCGCTGCTGGAGCCACACACAGGCCCCTCACGGGGCCATCTGTATTTGTTCCCTCCAGAGTCAGAGCCAGGGAGTTCGCTTTATTTAAAAGGTGAACTGTGGGCACAGAAAATGCCCACCAGTTAGCTGGGCTCCCTCTTCTTCCAGGCAGGGGGCTGTGGGGACAGCTGATGGAGAAGCATCCTGACCCCAGGCTCCGCTGGCTCAGCCGTGATGGAGGAAGAGGTGACCACGGGGCTAGGCTGAGCACCTGCAGCCTAGTTGTAGGGAGCCAGCCAGCTGGGAGCTCACAAGCGAACCCCTCAACCCAGGACTCCCAGCAGATGGGCTTTATCGGTATGAGAAGAGTGGGAAAGCACCCCAGGAACCCTTTTGGAGGAGACCCCAAGCCAGCCAGCCTAGCCGATGACCGCTGCCCTAACTCGGGGTGCCCTTCGGGTGGGAAGGTGTAGGGGATGCAACTCACTTTGCCAAGAAAGCTGGGTCACCTCCTCCAGGAAGCCTCCCCGACCTCCTCCTCCACCCCCTCTGAGGCTCTGGGATGACCTCACCCTTCTGTATCCTCTGGGTCTGCCGGGAACCACAGGAAAGGGTCATAGCTGACTTCTGGCTGGAGGCCAGCACTGCATTTTTAAATAGACCTCCCTTGGTGAATCAGGGGAGAGCAGGCGCCAGGTTCCACCTTGAGGACTAGATGCCTCAGAGCACCCTGTCCAACAGGGGTAAAATTGAGACATGTCTACAATTTAAAATTTTGTAGTAGCTGCTTAAATATGTAAAGAGAAGGTGGTAAAATTGATGTTAAGGTTTTTTCTTCATAACTGAAGATATTTAAAATATCATTTTGAAACCTTACGTTCAAGACCAAGAGCAATAGAGTGAGGTTGCACCTCACACATACCGTCAGTGCACGTGCTCTGGCACTGAGCTGCGTCTCCAGCCTCGTTATATTTTATTCTGAGAGAAAGCCTCACTAGGTTGCCCAAGCCAGCTTTAAAGTTGTGGTCCTGTCTCCTGCCTCTTGAGTAGCTAGGATTATGAGCACATTCCTCCATCCTGGCTAACACAAAAATTCTTAATGAGAATTAAGCATTTATACTGTATATCCCCTTCCCAAGAATCCAGGGTCCGTGTCACATGTGTGTCACATCTCACCTTGGCCTGGCCACTTCCCAGGGGACATTCAGAAGTCCCCAGAGCTGGGGAGAGATGCAGGGTCTCTAGGGCACCCAGGCCCAGTTGCTGCCGTGGGTACTTCGTGTGCGCTCCGAGGCCTGCTCTGGAGCTATGGGAGCCTCGGTGCCAACCCTTGATCCCCTTGTTCCTGGAACCCAGCAGAGGAAGGTACCTCCCCTCCCACTCCTCCTGGCCTGCAACCTGTGCACTGGGGGTGAGAATCTCAGTACACTCAGCCTGGAAGGGAATAGAGATTACCAGCTTGGGGGTGCAGAGCTGAGGGGAAATAGACAGATCCTCAAGCTCAGCAAGACAGGCACTTGGGCCGGGACCCACAGCTCCCTGGGTGCCACTGGCCCCTGTTCCTGAGAGCAGGGCTTCAGATGGGGGTGGGCTGCCCCCCACCGGACAGGGTGCTGGGCCCACCTTCATCCTCAGAGACCTATGGAGCTGTGGTTCAGTGGCACCAGGCCTGGTGACACACGAGGACGGCTAAGCCATCTCCTAATGCTCAGTGTTCTGGAAAAGATTCAAGTCACCTAAAAATGGCATAAAATGTAAAATAAAATCAAATTTTATAGAATTCATTGGTAGTAAGAAAGTGCAGATACGCGGCCAAGGATGCCAAGTGTCATGCTCTGTCATGGTGGAAGGTCACAAGCAGCCGAGCAGCCAGCACCCAGGGTGTGGGTGAGCCACCACAGCCCAGGAAACAGTGGCACTCCGCATTGCGAACAGGGAGCTGGTGTGGGAGCACTCTCTAATACGCAAAAAATGTTGCTTGTGTTGTGTAAAAGTGTTGACAGGTTCATTTTGTTTATAGGCATGGGCAAACGCCTGGAAAGGGTAGAGAGCCCCAGCTTCCAGGGGAAGTGGTTCTTTTCTTTGCTTGACCACCTGCTATTTTTATAATTTCTAGTTTTTCCTGCAGTGAAGTAATAAGTATGTTACTTATGTAATATAGAAATGTGCAAAAGAATATAGGGTGGAACTTAGGAATTCTAGTGCCATAGAATTTATTTGAAAATGTATTAATTAAGAAAAAAATCCTAAGTAGATGTTTACCGTGTTGTGGCCCAACAGCTGTATTATTAAGTGCAGGGAATTATTAAATGCTTGAGAGTTGGAGTGGCAACATTAAAAACTCATGAGCCAGCTTTTTCTAACCATCTGTCTGTGTGCAGGGAAGTGAAAGCTAATCACCAGGCAGTTCCGCCTTCTTCTGAGTGGAATTCACCCGTGGACCCCGCCTCATATGTGAGCTCTAAGTAACCGTGTGTATTGGGTCATGACTGCACAGGAGGCAGTGCTACACTCATGTGTCGGAGCTAAGTGCACAGATGAATGGAGACACACAACACGAGCTTGCGTGCGTGCACGTGCGTGCACACACACACACACACACACACACACACACAGCATAGGGACTCTTGTGATCACTTTGGTCTAAGACACCATGACAGGCTCCTCCTGGGCATCCCTGCTTCCCTGCTGTCCATTCGCTACACAGTAGCTGGAGGCATCTTGTCAAAGCCTGAGTCAAAGCCTTGTCTCTTTGGCACAAAACGTGCACAAGCCCGGGACTTCCTACTCTCCAGAGCCCTGGGGCCGGCCCATCCTGCCTCCAGGCCTCGCTGCCTGCTCTTCATCCTCTGCTCGCAGTCACACCAGGCCAGCTGCGCTTCCCCTTCCCCTTTCCTAGAATGTCCTCTTTCCAGAGAGGTTTGTGTTCCTGGTTTCTGCAGGTTTCCGCTGAGTTACTTACTCTGAAGCCTTTCCTACTTCATCCCTCTCGTCGCCCCTGACACGGGATGTATTTGTCTCCTGTGTGCCTCCCTCCAGCAGGGTGTCAGCTCCCTGGGGGCAGAGGCTTTGCCTCTTTAATGCCCAGTGCTCTAAGTAGGAGCTCACTGAATAGCTGAAGGACGGAATGAACGCGTGGACATCAGACACCCATGTGGCGGGTCCTCCGTATTCCGCAGGGAGGCACCTGAGGCCCATGTGAGGCAGGGTATCTGTCTCACCCAGCTGGTGAAGCAGAACTAGATCCTGGCTCCAGCCTCTTGGCTGCAGCTCCTACCTGTGCCCTGGGAGGAAGCTCAGCCACACACACACTCAGGGGCCCTGGCCTGTCCGTCCTGCCTCCTGTGTGTTTTTCCAAGTTAGAGAACTTCAGCCCAGGGTAGCAGAGGAAAAACAGTGGTTGCTCCAGAACCCTGGAAACTCTTCCAGTGGGTCTTTCCCTGGAAAAACAGTAGTGCTCTCAGGGTGGGAAGGCAGGAAGGGGAGGGTCTTCTGGCAGTGGGAGCTGTGGGATAGATTTGGTTTTGTAATTAAAATAACATCTGGGTGTGTTTCCCTGGAGCGGTTCTGGGAGGTGGGTGGTCTTCTTCCATCCAAGCCCTGGACAGTTTAGAAGAGCTGGCGGCTGAAGGCTTCACCCCGCAGATGACGTGTGAAAGCAGTCCTGTCTCAGCAGCACATGGCAGCATGGCCTGAAGGCCTGCCGGTCCGCGGCCCCGTCTCCCTCGGGTGCCTCCCGATGCCTCCCCTTCCTGAGAGGTTCAGACGCCCCCTTGATGCGTGGAGAACCCTCGCCTCCTCCCGCTCACGCCCCATGTGGTTGGTTAATTGCCTGTGAAATGAGGGATTTCAGGCGTCACTCATCCGTGTGATCCAGAGGGCAGTGCAGCAGGGTGGGGAAGGGATGCCAAGGGCTGTTCTAGCCTTCTGAATCCCGTCTCTGTCTCGCTGGCTTTGCAGATGCAGCTTCTGGATAAGTTCCCCATTGAAGGAGGCCAGAAGGACCCCAAGCAAAGGATCATCCCCTTCCTGCCAGGTAAGCTCAGGTCTAGGGTGACCTGGAGAAGGGCATTCCTGCAGCCATGAAGAGGCCAGCTGTTGAGCCGAGGGTTTGGCCTAGAGAGCTGCATGATGACCATTCCCCAAGAGATCCAGAGGCCACTGGCCTCCAAGCAGCTTCTGCCATCCCAGGACCGGCTTTGCTGGACCCTGGCTTCTAGCTGTGAAAAGTTCCACTCTCACCAGTTGAGATCCTCAAACTGGGTATCCTCCCTGGGCCTGAGCTGCCCTAGACTTCATGCCCCCATTTGCAAGCTTAGTTAGCATGCTCGTGAACTGGCAGAGACAGGATTTGAACCCAGCTCAGGCTGGCCATAACAGAGTACTATTTTGGAACCTGTTTCAGGCAATCAATTATGTTGTGTAATTTGGAGGAAATGTCTTGGGTTTGCCATGACCTGCTATGACTACTCCTCAAGTTTGTGCAGTGATCAGCGGTGTAATTACAGACGGCTGCCTTGATTGTTATGGCATTCAGATCTTCCTAGTGAGATGTGTACCATCGTTTGCCCGGAGGGTGATACTTGGAGTTCCACTAAGCAATTCCAGCTGTTACTAGACGAGAGCTCAGAGAGAAAAGTGGCCGAGCTGAGGCAGCAGCCCTGATCTCCTCTCACCTGGGCTCTGCCCAGAGCCACAGGGACAAAGCCATCTCCTGGCCCTGCTGGTAACCTACCCTGCCTGAGGTAGTGGCCTGGCCAGCTCCTGGGGAGCTCCCTTCATGGTGCGATTCCCCTTGTGTGTTAACTCTGGCCCAGACTCCACAGACCAAGCAGCAGTTTGAGGGTATTCAGCCAGACCAGTCCCCCGAGCACCCCGCCAGTCCACAGCCTGGACCCACCCATGGCTTGAAAGCAGAGCTGGCTTAAGGAGCGGCTCCTCTGTTGGGTGTGCTGCAGGCACCACTCATCCTCAGAAGCAGCAGAAGGCAGGAGTGTGTTCAGCCTGCCTAGGAGTCTCATGCTGAACTTGGAAAGTGCTTGTTAGCACCCAGTTGAGCATCTAAGCCCACAGCCTGGGCAGACCAGAGCTAGTCCGGGGGCATGGGAGTCTCAGCCCTGGCTTCTCCCACAGAGGCAGAGCGTGAGTGGCTTCTCCAATCCTGGCCTCCACGTTGCTTTGGGGAGTTTTTGTGCTTCACTTGCGTTGTCACAGAGTCTTTTTTTTTTTTTTCCTCCCATGTGTGTATTTGATACAAGGTCTCACTGCATAGCTCAGACTCATAGTGATCCTCCTGTTTTCAGCCTCCTCGGCACTGGGATTATAGGCATGTGCCACTGTGCCCAGACTCAGTCACCAACTCACCGTGCCCCAGGGTTGGGGCCAGCATGGCATGTGGGACGGGGGATCAAACCCTGGTCCCTGGGCTTGCCAAAGCAGGCGCTTAGTCCGCTGAGCTATCTCACCAGCCCGTCACTGAGTCTTGAGGAAATTCAGAATGTCCAACATCCAGGGCTGCACTAACCTTAGGTATCCCTCCAACAAAATCTGGATAGGAGCATCCCCGGGGGATGTGCGGCCAGCACAGTGCTCTGTCACAGGTGATGGACCTGGCCCTGTAGCATGAGACCCTCAGCTGCAGAAAGAGCTTCTGCTGCGTCTGCTTCATCCTGGGCTGGGCTCTGGGGAGGAGTTCCATGTCATCACTCGGTCAGTAGTGTTCAGGAGGGGCTGGGTGGCCGGGCCGGTGGGCGGGAAAGCGTCATCTAAGGAGTCGCAGTGGGGAGAGAAAAGTCATCTCCATAATCAGAATGACCTAAAGTGGGCGTGACACTCGACTACCAAGCAACTCCTGCTGGGACTGGCCAAGAAGCTCGCAGAGCAGAGAGCTGAATGACAGAGACCTGGAGCTGCCCCCGAGTGATGGTGGGATGGGGGCCCTGGCTTCTGTACCGCTGCCACCCTGGCCCAGTGTCTGAGGAGCCAGATTGATGGGTTTACTCGTAGACACCCTAGCTTAGGCAGTTACTAGTTACATGCTCTTCTCTGTGCCTTACTTTCCACGTCTGGGAAAGGGGATCCACAGCAGTGTGTACTTCACGGGGCTGCTATAAAGAATGGAATAAATCAGTGCACCTCAAGTGCTTTCAGCTGTGGCTGGCCCCTGGTCCTCACACAAGCTCGCATGGTTTGTATCGATGCACCCCCAAAGGCTCATGCACTCAGAGGTGGACTTCAGGGAGGTGGCTGGACCATGGGGAGATGGTACTCAGGGAATTAGACCGCCGATGAATGTGTAGTTAGATAGGATGCTACAGAGTGAAGGCTGCTCAGGGTACCACGGTGTGACCCGGAAGGGTGCTTTGCCCTCCTCCTCCCCTGGCTGCCTTCTGCTTCCTGCCTGCTCTGCCACCAGCTCTATTTTCTCGGCCCTGCCTTGGACTCAGCAGACTGCTGACTGAAACCTGTCTCCTAAGAGTTGTGGCTGTCAGGCATTGTGTCCCAGCAGTGAGAAAGTATTAGGGCTCATGTCTGGATGTCCCTGAAAGCCTTGTGAGACATAGGTGGGACTTTTTCAGAGGTGGCCGGATCTAGAGTGTGTGATTGATTCAGGGTGCAATGCTAGGATTAGGGGTGCTAGGATTAAAGCGGGTGATTACTCTAAATCAGTCCATTGATTGGTTTGGCACTGCCTTAACCCCAGTAACCTGGATGCAGTACAAGGGGCAGAAAGGCTCGTCTTGCCTCTTGCTTGCTTCACTGCCTTCTGCCCACCGTGAACTGTTTTTCCCCTGATGCCTGTCATCTCCCCTGCCTTGGAGCCAGCTGATGAAGGACTGAGACCTCTACAGACTGTGTGCCAAATAAACCTTTGATCCTTTAGCTTTGGGTGTCAGGTATTTCATCTCAGCCAGGAAAGAAAAGCAGCTAAGACAGAAAGTAACCGAGACACATGCCTAGCATCTCTACCGCAGTTGCACTTGCAGCTCTGTTTGAGCCACTGTTGCCCTGTTATGCTGACTAGGAGATTGAGGCCCAAGGTTGCTGATGAGTTGCTCAGGGCAACATAGCCAGGAGGTAGAGCCAGCTCTGGGACTCCTGATCCCCACATCTGGGCCACAGCTGCCCTCCACATCCACTGTCCCAGGGTGCAAGGCCCCCACTACTATGGAACTGAGTGAGGCTGAAGCTCGGTTTGCTACTAGAGGAGGGCAGCGAGGGTTAAAGCAGCTGCGTGATGTCCTGGGCTGAGTGCCTGCGTCACGCCAATGTGTGACAAAGGGCAGCTGGTGGTATAGAAAGTCACCTGCCCACCCTACTCCCACCTGCTGGGCAAGGTCATGGCATGCCCATGTGAATGTGCCCGTGCACAGTGGGGCATTGTCACGAGGAGCGAGGCCCACTCAGCCCAGACAGCAAAAGGGAGCTCTGTCCCTTCCTGCTGTGCTTCCGCTCTGCCCTCCCCTGGGCAGCATTCTGCCTTGCACTGTCTCCTTCAGGCCCTCAGAGTGGGCACTGCTGCCACTGCATCCCTGGCTTCCTCCTGCCCACTGACAGCTGCCCTAGCCCCTTCCTGCTCTACTAGCTCTACAGTTCTGCGCCTTGGGCACAAAGGAAAACAACAGAGCCCAAACAACCCAACACAGTCAGAACGAGGCTTGGAAGAGCCAAGTGAGCATGCAGACCCCCACCCCACGCCTGGATCCAGGGAAGCCCCCAGAGGAGAGGGCATCAGAGAAGAACAGGACGACCATAGCCGCCCTGGCAGAGCTCGAGCAAGTGAGCCTTGGAGGGCTTGCTGTCCTGTGAATTTTCCATAGCAAGGAGGAAAGAAGGACGGGGTGGATGGAGGAATGAGGCAGAGGTGTGATGCCACTTCGTCTGACCTCAGCCCGGAGGCTCTGAGGGGCGGATGGAACCCACACTGCTCCATCCAGGGATGCAGCGGCAGCCTACGGGTGCAGTGTGGGCAGAGGGGCCCCTAGTGACTGAGGCCATGTGTCTGGGAAGGGAGGCCACTGGGAGCTGTGGGAAGCTTCCACCACCTGCAGTGTCATCTGAGCCACTGTGTCCACCTCCCTGCCTTTGGAGACAGCTCTGAAAGCCACCTTCTGATTCCCTAGGGCTCACCGATGGCATTAGGGACTTGGCTAAACCCAGAGAATGGAATGCTCTTACCACATGGGGAGGGGGTGGTCAACAGGCAGCCCTGGGGACAGCTGTGCCAGCCTTCTGCTTTAGCAGGAACATCAGTACAGGGAAAGCCCAAGGAGAGGAAGCGGAGAGCACACGTCCTTTCCAGAAGGGTTTCAGCTTGAATTCTATTTTTTTTTTTTTTTTTTTTTTTTGCAGAACCAGGGATTGAACTCGGGTGCTTGTGCTTGCCAGGCAAGTGCTTGTTCTACTGAGCCATCTCCCTGGCCCCTCAGCTTGAATTCTAGAGATGCTGGTCTGTAACAAACTTTTCTGCTGCCTCAAAGTTCAGAAGTGTTTGTAGCATCGGTCCTCTTACTCCTTCTGGCCAGCCGGCTGCAGGCTCATGGCCAGGGCCTCGTAGACATCCGGTGCTGGTGCTAAAGGAAGCAGCGCAATTGAAAGAAGAGAGAGAACCCTTGCTTACAGACTTTCTCTCTGCCAGGCACATTCTGGCAGCAAATCCTACATAGGAGCCAGGACAGGAGCAGACACAGACTCGAGAGATGTCTAGGTGGATGTGACCCAAGTTCAAATCAAGCTTTGGGGCTTAAAAATGGGGAGTTCCCAGCTGTTGCCTGTGGCCAAAGATGGAGGCTCATTCCTCAGAGAAGGCGACCCCAGATGGTGCACACTGGCTCTTGAGGAATAGACAGGGTGTTGTGCATGGCTCCAGGGAGGGGGTAGTGCTTGAGGTGTCTGTGAGCTGCCCCAACAAGGTGGTGGGGAGGGCCACTGCAATTACTGACATTTGCGTGCTGATCAAACCTGTTTTGGTTGGGGAACAGCCCTGAATCAGCAGTCTCTGAGGCCTATGTGGTCTGTGGAGGAACAAGGAGAAGT